ACAAATATCATTTTAGAATAGCGTTCATCAAGGGGGTTTCTTCTTCCTCTTTGAAGGTTCGAGTCTAGTTTCTTCTTCATCTCCTTTTCTTTGTTTCCAACATATCCGTGTCCGAGATTCCATACACCTCATGATATACTTGTAAAAGTCTTCATCTGAATCAAATTCACTAGTCGGCGGTGTCCCCTAATGCGCCATGTCGACTCTCTCATGTGCATTCAATTATATGTACAAAACTCTGTGGATTTTTCACGGAGAAATCATGAGGGATTCTCTTATGTTAACATTAAATATTCATTCACTGGATCTCAGGGAGATTCGTGAATACTAGGGATTAGGTTTTTTGGCTTGTTCTTTGTGAAATCTTGACTCGTTTATACTTAAATATTACTTTAGCTGTAATCTTGTATTACGAACAGTTATGGTGCCAGTGCTGTGAGTATTTTTTCATCGGAGGAAGCTCCATGGAGACGTAGGAGGTTTGTACAAATCCTCCATATATCTCTTCTTTGTTATATATATGTGTGCAATTATTCCAACTATCGAAAGCAGTCATGGCCGTAGCGAATCCCGCTAATGCTACTTTCATTAAAAAACAGTACACATCATTGCGGAAATCTGGACACTGTGATTGATGTTGGTTCAGATACTGGCATGTATTTGCCCCAACCACCTTCATTCCCATCTCTGCAAAATTCCAAGTAAGAAAGCTTCAGTTTAAAGGTTAAACCCTAACCTTAAGGGTCCCCCACCACTCCTGCCCTGGAGCATCGTGAGGGAGGTAAATCGCAGGTTATGCCTCCAAGGGTGCAGGGTGGAAGGCTGCTTGACCCAAGAGCCAAATCCATATTTCAGGATTCGAACCCTTGACGCAGCAGCCTCAAGCAAAGCTGGATTTCTCCACCCTCCTCTTTTACCATTTGGAGATGTGCCCTGGGGGCAGAAAGCTTCAGTTTAATATGCATTTAGAGTTGACGAAGGTTTTGAGTTTAAGTCTTGTCACTGCCCATTTAGTGAAATTGTGCACGTGTTTGACTTTGATGAGAAAATAGAAAATGGGAAAAATGGTCTTTTGCATTATGTAAAAAGCAACATTCATTAATTGTGTGTTGCTAAAAGGCATATCACAACAGTCAGGAAGTATATCTTGCTAAATACTAACGATAGCGACCAATAAATATTGTTAGAACATTTAACGTTGTTAAAATATTAACGACTACGTGTATTCCAGTATTTCACAACGTGCATTGTCTTTTATCGTATCTATCTATTCTACAACAACATGGAAGCCCACAATGTATGGGTGAACTTGTGAAAGACCTATGACAACATTCTTTGCCCATTGCAAAAGACAATTTTTCTAGTAGATCGAGCGTTCAACACTATATGAATGTTTTGTATTGATACCAAACTCTTTATAATACCATTGTTGGTGGAATAATGCTATATGTACACCTCCGGGTGTACACACAGTCTTACACTCCTCTCACATGGAGGGGGTCCACACATATTTTATTGTGTGTGAGCTCCTTCCATGTGAATGGAGTGTAAGGTCGTGTGTAAATAGTTATGTACACATAGCATTATCCTTGTTTGTGGGAGCCAGAAGGAGGATGAATACAGCCGGAATTATGATGTTGGAGCTGCCCATCAGGTCTTTGCTAAAGAGAGTGTGTAGAACAGTTTCTGGTGTAAGCCCTAATATTTAATGCTCTGCAGTAATTGCATGCACTTTTTCCTCCAATTTTGTACATTATTTAAGTTTATGTCTATACACACAAAGTTAGTTTCCTCGAACAGGCCATCTAGTCAGCTCTCTTGATGAAGTTAATCCACTTACAGCCGTGGAAATGGTTGCAAATTTACCGTAAAAAGCGAAATATGACTTCCTCTTCCATTAAAAAAAATTGTAAATTATCCAAGAAGAACACGATTAACTAAGACAGACACATGTGACATATGAATCAACCAATCTATCTTCCGACTTCCATTATGGGATCAGTGTTGAAGCCACTGTATAGAGAAACATGAATCCGTTTCCTTTTTCTTTAGGAAGTATTTATGTTTTATTTTTCCAGATGCTCACCACGGCCTTCTACATAATAGACATTGTTACCTTTTCAATCTTCTGTTAAAAAGGCAATAGCTGCATGAGGCCGACTTAATTACGTCCACCGACAAAAATTATTTAAAAGATGGCGGAAAGGAAAGGCTACAAATAGTTTATTAGTATTTCCATTAGAACATTTCCAATGCATTCTATGGGTTGGAGATTACGTGACACGAAAGTTGAAAGATTTGGTATATGTGACATTGATGTCTAATGAATAAATACTCAAGTCACCTATACATTCTACGGATTGTTATCCAGGTGGTAAAAAAGTTGAAATGCTTCTGGTACGTGACTTTGATGTCTAATGAATAAATATTTCTATTTTTTATTTTCTTAAATAAAAACAAGATCACTTTTTGAATTGGATAAGAAATATCGGTATGGAAAGAAAATATTAATTTTGCTGATTCACTTCATTTGATAAAACTTCTGAGTTCAGACTCCTAGACATTGTTTTTTCAGTCACATCAGCTCTACGAAGTCCTTATCGACTTGCTTTGAAGATAATTTATTTTAATAATGTTTATTTTTTCTTATGTGACACAGTTTTTAAAGCAACCGACTGCTGCATTGGAAATGCTCTAAGATTTTATAGCTTTGGATGTTGTATCTAAAAAAAGGTTGAACCCCATCCTTAAGAACCCCCACCGACCCTGTCCTGAGTTATCGTAGAGGAGGTAAATCGCAGGATGTACATCCCAGGAGCCAGGGTGGAGAGCATATGGATAGGCCAAAGCTGTTAACCCATATGGTAACTCCCGCTTGCAACAAAGCCAATTCCACCTTGCGGGAAATCAAACTCTGCACACTGCCGCACTGAGCTCTATCCGCCCTCCCCTTTGCCACTGGGAGATATGCCCTGTGGGCTGTTGTATCTAAATACATGTGAATATTTCAATCTTAATACGCGATATTTTCTGATTGACATAATCACATATATACAAAAATCGTAGATGCAACAAGTATGCCAAAGTTCTCGTGGTAATTAATTCTATAATAGGATTTTTCCTAAAATTGTTATATTCAATTTTCAAAAGAATGTAATTTGAGCATTGGACATTAAATCTAAAATGGACAATACAAAATCAAGAACCATCGGACCACGAAACTTAAGAAGCTAGCGCACACCAGCATTCCACAGTACTCAACATACAGTGCCTGTTTTGCACGCTCGTGGTGCAATGCTGGGCCGGGGGCAGGTCTGGGCTTCACCATCAAATCTCAAAAAAAAAAAAATAAATAAATAAATAAGACATTACCACTTTCGACTATTTCACTATCTATTCAAATAGTAACCATTATACCCAAATGTTCGTGCTTTCGAGATCGAAAGAGATGGCCTAAAAATTACTTTTTAACTACCGACATCTCGACAAATTATCAAGTTACTCAAAGTTACGAAATTTGGTCTCCAAGACCAGGTTATCACGAATAACCCTAGCATTCGACAACATGAAGTGAAGCAACTTCGACTTATTATATTCAATACGGCCTTCGAGCATGCACTTTGCCAGTGAAGAATTTTGTCCTTATCGTGAGATTATGATTCTGAATAAAATTTACAGTTGATAAGGACAAATTTACAGTTGATGATTTGGAAACCAGACATACAAAAGACAATATAACTGTTTAAAATTCTTTACCTCCCTATTGACGAATTGATATTAGCCCTTGTTTGACAACCATTATATGAAAATTATTTTTTTTACATATTCATTTCAACCACATATTCAAGCAATAAAATAGATTGCACATTAATCCAAAAAATTTTCTTACTTTTAAATCACACGTTCTCCATAGTTTTGACCAAATAATGGCAATCAAATATGGGCTTAGATGACAATAATGTAGACAATTAATAAAAGTAATAGTTGTAATAGGTTAATTTGGGCATAAAATTTTGAGATGTCAACAACAAGATCCAGAGCTAACTACCATAACTTTAGACTACTTGAACAGCTCTTTATATAGGGACGAGGAAGGCAGATGCCTCAAACAGAGAGAATCTGGGAAGCACATAAGCATGTATTTTAATATGTTGTTCTATAATTTTCTTACAAAAACAAACTCATTTCCATTTTGACTTCGATTTCTGGCCCCCTTTTTAACCTTTAATCTATACAAAAGGTGAAATCGGTGCAATATACACTATTGACACCAAAAAATATGTATTCTATTTAAAAAGGAGGGAGGGGCGGTGGGGATAAGTAATGAAAAGCTCCTACTTGAATTCGAGGTGTGGGGAAGCTGCCGATATTTAATACCAATAAATAAATAGGAAAAATATTGAGATTATCTGGAGAAAGCGACAACTCATAGAAGGACCCCTTATCAATTGCCAAGAATTGATAGGATTAGAATCAATAAACGCTTATACCGTGGCGCTCCTATCTACTCGTACAACCTATTTATAGCTGTAATATTAAGTGACAGTGTTTTGAAAAGTGCACCTAAGTACGAAATTTAATAAGCCCACAAGTAAGCGGATAGAAAACTAAATATAAATAGTGTTCACCCCATAACAGTTTAAACTTTGATGAGAGTCAGTTCAATAACCATAGGACAACTAAAAACCGACATACTCTTGAAGATGAATATGTTTTATTTGAATCAATAGAAGCATCCACATTGAAACTAGATAGTTATTGAGCATGTTTATATAGAGCTTATGGAACTTTCTTATAAGCCACACAAAGTGGGGGTTATAACTAAGTAGCTATAACCGAGTTAAATAAAAACATGTAATTAATCAACTCCATGCATCAAAAATCGACCCCTATGGTAGCTATAACTGAGTAATTAAAGAACAAATATAAGGTGCCAGAAATGTATGCAGTATGCAAAAAATAGCAATTATATATAAGACAAGAAACACCAACAGCCAACATGAAAACATGTCAAGTCTTATTCTCAATTAATTAGGGGTGAGACACGTAATACAAAGAGCAATTAACAACTAGTAGTCAGGAATCACTATAGTGATTCGGTTTTTCTCAATAAAATAGTGGCCCGATGCATAATACAAAGAAGCAATAACGGGATCTTAAAGAGGGATAGCTTGTATACGTCTGAGGAGAGTAATTTTTATAACAATACATTTCATCACTATATAAACGTACAGGTTAAATATATAGTAGCAACTGACAGCAAGTAGGTGGGATTTATTTAAGGAGAAGTTTCCACTTTAATACCTTGTAATCTATTAGGTATCCAACTCAGGTACAATCTCAAATATTTCTGTTCGGATAACTCAATGTGTCTTCAATACCAGTCTCCGGGAACACCCGACAGATCAAGAGCTGCAAATCGAGCTTCTTAGTAGTTGTGGTTCGGGGGTTAATAGCTTGGTAAATCTGAAACTGTGCTAGAAGATTAGACAAAAAAACGAAAAAAAAAGCAGTTCCGTAAGGAAGATATTCAGATTTGCATCTATAGAAGATCTCAAAATAGCAAAATGTTCAATTTCTGACAATAACCACCTTTTCATATAGTTACACTTACATCACTCATGATCTTTAAGTTACATTCAGGTTTTATATAGACTCTGAACATTTATGTACAAAGGCATCTGAAATTCAACGTAGAGACTTCACAGTTCACATGATAAAATCCCAATACTTTTGTAGCCTGTGGGGTAAGATGCTTGCATCAAAAGATGGATAAGTTTGACTTTGTTGTGCACCTTTTTTGAATTATTAAACCCAGGAAAGAATGCAAAGTAAAGAACTACTTCATTTCATAAGCTAACAGTACCTAAATGTCTGTTTCTTACTTAGGAAGTAAATCGAAATCCTACAGAGTTCCAAAAAACCAAGAGTTGGAACTCTCGGACATCGAAATTTTTTCCACTCATCAACTGATTGATCTCTATTAATATGAGTGGATATTTATTATATTACGGATTGCACCATGTGTCTTGAATCTGGATCGTGTCCATGATCTCACAAAACAAGAGGCTTCTTGAAAAGTAATGCCAATTTTTATAATCATGGAATAAGTGTTAAGAAACGGAGAGGTCAAAAGCAAAAACAGTATACCTTGAAAAGTCATAGCAATTTAGCAGATGATTATACCCTGAACCAGAAACTAGTGCTTCTACCACTATATACTTGAAAATATAGCAAATTGATGCGACGACAAAACAAAGCCCTAAATGATAAACAGTGACTCCAAATTGTACGTCATTGTTCCTGATGAAAGTGATATACAGAGTTTTCTCTTGTCTTACTTTCCAACAAAATAAGGAATAATATCCAGGCTTCAAAGTTAGCACCACTGTAATGAAAGAGCAATAACAGATTAATCAAATAGAAGTATCCCCTATCTGGAGTGGACTTTGCTATATACAATTTAACTTTAAAGTTTAAAGAGAAGTTATAAAAAGAACAAGGAAAGTGAAGAAAGTTTCAGCTTGCCTAAATGTATCTAACATCCAATGGAATCTAATTTATCATGCAGACAAAAGTAGATCATAGATGTTAACCAAGATTGGTTTTCAAAACAAATCACACCGTGGCTAATTAAATAAATTTTAAAAGGTGGCCCTCATAACAAAATTTCATACCATAAGAGAGAGGTACATGTTTGTCAATAGAGTAGAGCACATTCTAAATGAGGGGAAAAAATCCCACACATCAAAAATCAAGCAATGACATGTATTTCAAAAGTTCAATCGGTTTCATGAATTTAACGGTACACATATACACCACAACAAGAAAAGAAGACAAAATAATCAAGATCAATTGCATCAACCACTGCATAACTCGACAACAGAAACCTGTTATGTCTATTTGCCAGGTTTTAATCCTTCCTATTTCCTCTTTCATGCTCTGGTGATAGGAATTTATCTACTTTGACAAAATAGACAATTGTCTCGTACAATCTTTTCACTACTAGTCTAAATATTAAATAATAAGGCTTGAATCTTTCAATTGAATGGCATCAGTCTCTCTTGGTAATTCTAAACATTTGCAAAAGAATTATATTAGATAATTCAACTATTTATTCATCTAGAGCTGCAAATCAGAAACCAGTAATTTCTGATAAAAAAATACTAGCTGTAGTTCATCTAGTCACATTTCCAATGTATTGAATCCAGTACCAGTCCCTGTATTACCAATTCAATATCAGCAAAGTAAAATCACAAACAATCACTATTATAACCGACACATTTATGGTACACAACCAAAGCTATTAGTATGAAAATTGCTCACCTCTTTTTCCACTATCCAATTTGGACTAGGCAAAGATTTATTTATCATTTGGATTAGCATGGTGCAGGTAACCATTGTACTTATTCCCAGACCAGTCCCTCTGTTGCTGCATCATACTACTATACTGCTGGGGATAATGACTGTGATGAGAATGAGCCTCGTAACCATTGATTCCAGCAGGGGAATTCATATTTCCTTGCATTCCTACATGCCCGTGTGCGGCCATTACCATCATTGGCATGGGCATAAGTTGCTGTGGAGGTGGATATGGCATCGGAATAGGCATCCCCACATGATTCTCTCTGTTCCCACCACCGCGATTCCCATTTGCAGCCAGATTCCCATGGCCACTGCAACTAGAAGAATCATTAAAGCTCTGGGGTGGCACTGGTGTAGACGCGAACAAATGATCCGACGCGGAGGGTCCCTCATTCGATAACCCCTGCATCCTCTTGACGTACAGTCTATACTTCTGCAAATGACTAGCCACGTTTTCCCGAGTCAGTCCCTCTACGTTCATGAGCTGCATAATCGTCTTCGGCACCGCGTTCTTCAATCCCAAGTGCGCCACAACATCCACAAAACGCTTGTGGAGTTGCGGGGTCCACACAAGCCTCGGCCTCTTCAGAGTCTTCGCCGCCGCTGACTGGTCATCCGTACCGTTATCGGTGGCGGCGGTCTGAGTAACAGAGTCAACCTCCTCGGGCTCCATCCTCCTGAATTTCTTCGGGTCGGATCCTTCCTGTGTCGGGTCCGGGTCGTCCATCTCCGTCTCCTCCATCATGTGATTCTGCGCGGAGGGCTCACTCTGATGATTTTGATTGTTCAAAAACGGCTTGAAGTTGGAGGAAGGCTGGGAAACGCGTCCGCAGAGGGACGAGATAGTGTTCTTAGAAGCACGGTTGACATCGATAAAAGTCCGGGTAGGCTCTGGCGAGATTTTGAAAGCCGATGCCAGCTCCGGCGGGATCAGTGCCTGGGACAACGGCGTCAGATCATCGACGGTCGGCAGGCCGGCCTCCCACTCCGTCACCCTATCCTCACCTCCGTCAATTTTAACTTCATCCCCCATGGAACACTAATTTTCTGAAAATTGAAGAAATCGAATTGTGTGAATTGAAAGAGGACTCAAGAAATGAGGTGTTATTTTGAAGAAAATAAATAAATAAAAGATATGAAAAAGTGCAAAAATGATTCCAGAAAGGTTGCCAGCGTGGATGCTTTACCAAGATATTTTTGATCTCTCAATATCTTTATCTCGTATCTTCTTCTAAATTCTTACTCGCCGCCCAGCTGCTTTTTCTGCAATTTACTCTTTTACCACTCTTAAAAGTAAAATATTTGTTTGTAGTCCTTGAAGAATAGTACGTCGTGTATCTTAGTACATCAAATAAAAACTATGTTTGACCGAACATACCCTACGGGCTGTTTAGACCATACAAATTACTAGTTTTGATGGTGCAAAAAAAGTTACTAATTAGGTCCTTATTTGGCCTTCATATTTTCTCAAACTCATTCTTCACCACACATTTTATGGAATTTATAAATTTTATCAATTTTAATCATTCAATATTCGGAATATACTTACAATTTTTTTTTTTTTTTTGGAAGATAATAAAACTATAGAATTTTAGTGCATTTCATCCCGACTTTGAACAAAGTAGCAAAAAATGTTATTATATTTTATTTCGTCAAAGTTCATCTTCAATGTTTCATAAATTAGTACAACTATCAAGTTTGGCTGTTATTTTCGTCATGTGCACTGCACGTTATTAGTGATTGAAGGGTAAAAAGACAGTCTAATCCATATAAAAAACTTTAATAAATGGTCAATTGTTTGTATTAGTTAAATTATTTATTTTGAAAATTTTAAGAGAGTTTCATATGTAGTGCACGTAACGTAAGACTACTTAATTATCGGCCAATCATGCGTGACCCTTGTGCCTAACAACCAGGCATTTGGTTTAATCACTTTCCCCTTAGTGTTTCGTAAAGTCGGTCATCATATTTCACCATTAAATATAATTTAAGATTTCATATTGCGCCACATATCATCTCCCAAATAGATAGAACTTACTTAATCGACAATCAAATCTTACGTTATTAATTCCACCTAATTATTATTTGTCATGTCCACTCAACTTACTACAATGTTATAACTTGTCATTTCATCAACCGCAGCGAGAAATAGTGTCACGGTGGATGATGCGGCAAACAAAAATTCTTATACATGCATAGCAAACTCGCTTACTCTGACGCAACAAGATCGTTAACAACTATTTGTGGCCTAACTTGTCGAAATGTACACTCTACAGCATCATCATATGCAGGTATAGCTACAAATTTCGTACCCAAAGCCTATTGTTTAATGAATTTCATTTATTGAGTGGTCTTTTACCCCTTTTTTATCACTTGGAGATAAGTGGACTCGAAATGCTGACATTCACCGTAGGGTAAACCACAGCCTCTCGGGCCGCCCGGTATTTCCATAGCAATTGGAGTCATGGATTTTCAATTCATTCGGGGTAGTAAAGCAAACGAAGAAATCTGATGCATGCTAGAAGCAATAAAACCAAAGCAAACCAAGAAACCAGAATATGAAGAACTGAATGTATCGGCTAAATAAGAAAATAGCATACACGACAGCCTTGGCCTCACCTAGATAACCAACTCTCCACATCGCATCATTTGTACAGTCAAGTAGCAACTACATACTACCTCACACTTTTATCAACTTTACACTCTTTAAAACTCGCTCTTTGTCACTCCTTGGTAGTGAAGCATCGCGAAACCTTGATCTCTGAGCCGCAGCTTACTAGACTATGTATAAACGTAAAACTATACAGTGTACAGTTTTAGTTTTTTTTATGCAGGCGACACCTTTATTTGCAAAACCTTCCAGAAAGAAAGGTAGGAGCAGAGCACCACGTACAAAAGAAAGAGACGAAAGACAGAGGGAAGGAGGAAGAGGCAGCTCAAACTAGCCTCAGTTAGCTGTACAACAACTTTCTTTCCTAAAGCATCTAAGAAGGATGTGAAGACTGGGCAGCAATTCTCCTTTCTGCAAAAATCGGAACAAGCAGTTAGAACAGTTATCTGAATGGCTAGACACTAAGTGCACGTTCGGGACATTGTACTCAATGAGTGTAATAAATGTCTTCAGCCTAATTTGGTTATTAAGAAATGGATTGACATGTAAAAGTAAGAGCTAAGGAAAGTTCACCTCCAGCTGCAACAAGTTTCTCTACACGGGCTACGATATGCTTCCCATATGTGTACTTCTTCAGTGCATTCAGATGAACTTTTATTCTCGACAGTATCAGTTCACGCTGCTGATCACTACATGTCTCGAGTACTTTCTGTACAACATAATTCGCGAATTGATCTTTCATCATAGCCTGTATGCAGGATAAATATTGAAAGGAAGAAAAAGTAAGTTCAATTGCATGGATAAAAATATGGCACAGAAAAATCAAACCGTGCTCACAAGCTGAAAAATATAGAATTTGGACCTCAAATCGAGCCATAGATCTGTGACTAACAGCCAAACCACATTTATGAGTATACTTCAAAATTCACTGTAGGCAAGATAGGATTGAATGTTCATGAAGAAAGGTTGGTGTTTGAAACTGTTGGAAAACAATCTACTTCCAAGTTCTGGACATAAATGTATTACTATGTAGTTATTTAGAAGTGTTGACTTCACGCCCATTTTATGATTTTTTTTTTTCTTGATAAGTCCATTTTATGAACTATAAATCCCATGATATTTCTATTCAAAATTACTCAAGATTTATGTCCGCATAATTTTAATTTTCCCCGGATATTTCTATTCCAAATTCCTCCCCCTCCCTCCAAGACTTAGGCATGCTATAGGTTCCTGAATTTTTAAGTATTGTTGTGAGGATAAATCACATATACAACCACCCAACCCCTAAAGCTTCAAAAAAGAACTCTCTCAATCCCTGAAGTTGCAATGTCAACACATTTTATTCATAAGAAACAACAAAATATAAGTGTTAAATTGAAACTCCAAGGACTCTCATGTATGGTTAACCCTTACTGCACAAACGTGTACACACACACACATCGACTGGCCTTTATCTTCAGAGTCCCTCAAGACTGAAACATTGACGCAGTGTGTTTTTTTTTTTTTTTAAAGGAAACACCCTTTGAGAGTGAGAGAGTGAGAGTGAGAGAGGCATTCAATACAATCATGTAACAAGAACGAACTCCCAAGCTTCCTTAGGTGAAAATATTTCAAACTTACGGAGAATTATGTGAAACTTACCACAATAGTAAATACTTCTTGAGTTACTAAGACGAAATGAGGTCGAGGGAGACAAATTTATGACTAGAAAGCCAAATACTCTCCAGGTCTCATTAGACACATATTTAGATACTCAATAAATCGTACAGACACCCAGGGGGTGGGAGATTAGAGGGTCTGGTATGAATGTACAAACCAAACTCTGTAGCTAGCTCAGAAGTGAACACAAAACTTCAAAGCCACTCAACATAATACAATATCTGGAAGTGAAGAGACAAATGTGAAGCAAACCATTTTTAGATATATCGCGCCAACACAGGAAGTAAATAATGCTGCAACGAACCTGCAAAGGCTCATTCTCGTCAGTTGTCCCAAGCATCTCATTCACCAAGAGCTGGCGCTCATTTGAATCACTAAAAGTCAAGCACTTTTCAACTACATTCGAAGCAAACTTTTGCTGACTCATTTGAACTATCTTCCCAGTTAATTCCTGAATTATAGCAGATCGCTCATGTGGCTTTCCATGCTCCAGGACGTGCTACGATAAGGAAACCAGAATAGTCAATTAAAGCTAGGTCAATTGGTCAGAAATGGAGAGTAAAAAACTTATTTAATACATGCAGATCAAGCAACGCTGACATGCTAGGTAGAGAGGAGTGGAGAAATATCCATAATCACACTATCACGTAATTAAATTCCTTAAATTAAAGGAGCAGCTGAATTGACATAAAACATCAACTTGAAGTTTGCTCATCTGAAATGTAGTCCACTTTATATTCTTAAGACCAATTTTTACCAAAGCGAAGTAAATGGATGTCCAACTCAAACTTGTAATAAATGTCAACTACACAATATCAGAACATTTATCACTCGAGATATTTCTGTTGTGAATCTTTGTTTTTGAGTTCTAGAACTCAAAAATTCACGAGGTAACTACACAGACCGAGAGAACAAAACCATATTGCTAGAGGAACAACCACGAGTACTTAATAATATTTCACAGTGAAGATTTTGTTACACAAATTTAACATCAAAATCATCCATACAAACTCCTAAATAGAACCCAATTTTGAATGTCAGGTACTAGGCCTTACTATATATTTAAAAAACTTACAAACCTGAATGACATAATTGCCGTATTGATCCTGCGCCAACATACTTACAGACCCCAGAATCTCTTCCATTACTTTGTCCTGGGTGGTTGGGTCCTCGCAGTGCTCTAGTACTCTCTGCAAATTGACAAATGCTCAGTAAATAAGTTAATTAATCCCATAAAAAGCAGGTTTAATGCTTAAAAATCCAAACAATAATCAACTTTCTTAACTTGTATCACCCGGCATCCGTATGGATGAGTGGAGAGAATCACAACTTGGTCAAAGAATGTTGACACAATAAACTGAATATGCTCCTCCGGAACACACTCGATGCATTTCTGGATGACATGGTTCCCATTTTGATCCCGCACACAGCGCATGACATGTCCATCAAGCTCTTCCACCATCTTGATCTTTTGATCCAAATCAACAACTTCTATTGCCTAAATTGAAACAAAGTTAATTGATTATATGCCCAAAAAAAAAACATATATTCAACAAGTATTTGGAAATAAGATGCATGATCAAAATATCACCAGAATATATTGAATATAGACACGCTGGTACACGGTATTAAGGATGGGCCTTTATACGTGAATTAGAACAGTAAGAACATCGATAAATGCATTTCAGATGCTAAAATAATTTCACCTTCTGTATCACCCGACACCCATACATTTGGAAGCTAAGTGTAAGAACATGTCCAAAAAGCTTGCCAGCCAATTCTCTCTTCTGAGATGCCATTCCATGTTCAAAAAACTAAAAGACACGAAATAGACAACTGTGTTAAATTACTGGAAAGAACCCTAGTTAACAGCATCAGATAAACCAATAAAATTGGAAAGCTTATCATGTAAGCATGAGTAAAAATGTGCAGAATCATAAATATTGACTAATAAACATCCAGATATTAGGATACCTTCTGGATAACATAATTGCCGAACACATCAGTCATTAAAGTAAGAGCTTGAGGAAAAATTTCCAAGAAAACCATGTTTTTTTCTTCTACTGTAGCAGTTTCAAGTTTTTGTTGAATGAACCGGCTTCCATACTGATCAGCACTGATTGGCGATGTTAAGAATAAAAAAATAAAAGTTAGATTTCAATTATCTTAGGTTGAAAAGTCCATACTTAAAAGTAATACATACCTGAACTCAACAACATGACCAGTTATTTCTGAAAGTTCAAAACACCTGGTTTTATTGCTCTTAAACTCTTCCAACAGAGAAGAACTGAAGCTATTGTCCAGGTTATCCAAATGCCAAGGTCCCATGACACCACCAGCTATGTTTCTCATCCCACCAGGGAATCTCATGTTGAACTCACCATGCCTCATAGGGCTACCAGGTCCTCCAGGAGAGGTTGGAATTACAGGGCTAGCCAATGGGCTCCCAGGATATGACAACCCAATGCCGAATGCTGGATTTCCATAGTAACCATGAGGACTAGAACTACTGGTCTTGCCACTTAAGGGAACACCATACTGCATTTTATGAGGGGATAGCAGAGTACCAAGATAAGCTTTCTGAAGCAAGTCCATGTATGAATTACCCATGTAGTTTCTCTCCAAAGAAGGATCGTAAAGAGCTGCAAGCTGTGCTACAGCATACTCTGAAGGGTCCACATAAGGCGCCTGCAGTGCACTCCCTGCCATCTGATTTCCCATTCGACCCATGTTCTGGTCTAAGGCAGCAGCTCCCATATTTGATCCCCCCAACATCCTAGAGTCCATACCCGGCATGGCCATAGCAGATGCAGCAGCAGCATTTTCAAACAGAGGCGGCAAATTAGAATTACCAAGTTGACCTGATATTGGACTCATGGGGTAGCCACCCAAACGATAATTCGAAAATGATGAATTTGGACTATCCAGATGCTGATATTGAGAAAATAGGCCACTCCGACCATTAACTGCTGTGGTAGAGGATCCATGCACAAAAGAGTTATTAGAAGAAGCACTGGTTTTGTGCAGCTCAGTTTGAAAAGAAGAGTTGCTGACATCCAAACCATCGCCATTGCTTACACCAGCGTCAGAAGGCATCATTTTTGCATGCTGAAGAACAGAAGACATATTGAATTGCCCAGATTCAGATTTCTTCAGGTATGCATGCTGCTTCAGGTTATTCTGACCACCTGGAAGATTGAAGAAATTCTCATGGTCATCAACTTCTTGTTTAATTCGAGACGGTAAATTATTCTCCTCATCCATAGAACCAGCTGAAAGACCCATGCCTGACAAAGCAGTTACCAGGTCAGTAGACTCATTTATGTGAGTAGAAGTGTCATTTAAGGCATTAGGGCCATTAATGCTTCTTTTTTCAGAATTTCCTATCCTGCCTCCTCCAATGGGTGTAAGACAAGGACTAGGAGCCCGAGCAATGTGTTGAGGATCAGGAGTGGAGCTTCTTGACAAGGAAGCTCCCAAAGCAGCAGCATAAGAATATGATGTGGGCGGTCCAACATGTTGAGAAGCAGATGAGGTCTGAACATTTGAAGCAGAGCGTACAGGGTCTGCAGATGTCAATTTATGACGCATATGAACCAGCTCAGCCTCTGCTGAACCAATGTTATCTAAGATATGCAGGATCGGACCTAAGCTCCTCCTCTGACATGAAACCATTACCACTCTTATTTCTTGCATACTCAGCAAAGGCAGAGCTATTGCCACTACTGCCACCAACAACACCACCATGTTTTATTAGAAGAAGCACTGGTTTTGTGCAGCTCAGTTTGAAAAGAAGAGTTGCTGACATCCAAACCATCGCCATTGCTTACACCAGCGTCAGAAGGCATCATTTTTGCATGCTGAAGAACAGAAGACATATTGAATTGCCCAGATTCAGATTTCTTCAGGTATGCATGCTGCTTCAGGTTATTCTGACCACCTGGAAGATTGAAGAAATTCTCATGGTCATCAACTTCTTGTTTAATTCGAGACGGTAAATTATTCTCCTCATCCATAGAACTAGCTGAAAGACCCATGCCTGACAAAGCAGTTACCAGGTCAGTAGACTCATTTATGTGAGTAGAAGTGTCATTTAAGGCATTAGGGCCATTAATGCTTCTTTTTTCAGAATTTCCTATCCTGCCTCCTCCAATGGGTGTAAGACAAGGACTAGGAGCCCGAGCAATGTGTTGAGGATCAGGAGTGGAGCTTCTTGACAAGGAAGCTCCCAAAGCAGCAGCATAAGAATATGATGTGGGCGGTCCAACATGTTGAGAAGCAGATGAGGTCTGAACATTTGAAGCAGAGCGTACAGGGTCTGCAGATGTCAATTTATGACGCATATGAACCAGCTCAGCCTCTGCTGAACCAATGTTATCTACATTCTCACCAAAAGCATTTCGGCTTGCTGGGCGTGAAGGGTGCCTAGATACAGGAGCAGCACGGGCAAAGTCATCCTGCAAACACACACCAAGCACCAAACTGAATCACGAGGGCTGGAGAAAATAATTTCCATTTACATACAGAGGAAGTTTAAAACACGATATCAAAATTGCAATTGATGCAACTTTGAGTCAACATGATGCGACTGGAGAAGGAAAGGCGGGAAAAATCAAACATGAACTATATTTAAAAAAATTCATCACTCTTCATCTATCCAAAATAGAACAAAGAATCTATAGCACGAGAATAACATATAATCAAAAATTTTAAAAAAAAAAAGAACATTTATTTGAATTCCAGGGAACACATTGGAAAGGGTCCAAGTCTCCCAGCATTTAGGGTCTCCGCAAACAGGAAGTTTGAAGACCTAACTCCAAAACCAATACCTGATATGCAAAAGAACGTGTAACACTTACTTAGATTATACCAAGCTGGACTCAAAGATTTAAACCAAGGAAGCATGAAAACTCGAACATTAAGCACAGAATAAATTAGCACAAAATTTGTTGGATTGAAAGTCTACACAGAGCAATAATAGGGTAACTAGACTAATCAAAGGACAGGAAATCATAACGAATATAACTGTGAACAAAGCTTGTTGAATCATGTGATTTTTCCAGTAAAAAAATGATAACAGTGTGTTACGACTGTGCTGTCAGGCACATCCTCAAATGCAAAGATAATTAATTTTGAAAATCTTCATTCATCTATTAAATGTTTGTTTGAGCCACATTATTTTGAAAAAAAGTATTTTGGAATAGAAGATTGATGGAAAATGTGTGGTTAAAAATAAGGAAAAATTTTGGATTTGCGTGTAATATTATTTTATTGAAAATGTGTAATTAAAATGATGTCAAATCACTGTTTAAGAATGTATTTTTTTTTTCCAAAGAATGCAGCTCAAACAAGGCCTTATTATGTTTGATCAGTGAATAAGCTTATGAACAATCATGAAATCATGTCTTACTTCACGGCAGTTAGGGCTCTCATGGCGAGGACTGACACCATCACATTGACAGAAAAAGAAGGCATAGTTCTTTCACACTGAAAGAATAGGACTTATGTGACTCAAAAACTAATACTAAGAACAACAATTCACTAAGTATAAGATTATTATTTCCTAAATCCGCATAGAAAATATTGGCTCCGCCACTGATTATTAGCTAAGCTGATTCAACTCACAGAACAAATATATATATATATTTGAACACCAGATTACAAGGAAAAGAACATATTGCTTAGTTATGAAACAATTGTTGTGCATGTGTACAGCCCTTCTACACATGCATACGAAGAATAATTTTTAATAAAAATGAAAACTTGGACATTCAGATCAATAAATGACGGGAAACACATAAAAGATTAATGTCAAATGGCAAGCACAAAATCACATGTGAAATTCAGATAAACAAGAGTATGAGTAGCATTTTACAATCTCAAAGAGTTAGAACATCTCCAAGAAAAGGATTACAGAAAATATAGGAAAACAAGGCAAATTTATGTAAGTTATTCACCTGAAATATTTCGTCAAGGCTCTTCTGTTTGTTACCCAGCCCTAATCCAGGCAAACCAATTAATCCATCAACACCCCATTCTGTCTCATTCTCAATCTCTTGGTTCTTAGAATTGAATCCTGGAGGCATCGAAAACAAGGATCCCCCAGCACAATCAGTATCAATCCTATTCACCTTCCTCCTATCCCCAATCGTCGAATTCCCGCCTTGGAACCTCTGTGTAAACCGCCAATCCTCCTTGGATAACAGAGGAGGCGGTAGCCTTGGATTCAGATTGACATTCCCGTAATAGTAAGATAGATATGCAGGATCGGACCTAAGCTCCTCCTCTGACATGAAACCATTACCACTCTTATTTCTTGCATACTCAGCAAAGGCAGAGCTATTGCCACTACTGCCACCAACAACACCACCATGTTTAAACAACCCACCAACGGCACTTAGTGAACCATCAACAGTAGGTGGAGCTGACCCACTCCTATACAAATTCAGCTCCTTTTCACGATCAATCGCCTCTTGGCGTCGCTGTTCACGAAGCAAAAACCCAATCTCCTTCTCCAAGTCACCTCCAAAGGAATTTTCATTATTACCAAGCATCGGTCGGCTTCCCAATTCAGATAACATTTTTTTCACCACGAACTTACCAACAAATTATGCACAAATTCCAAGAGGATAAAAAAAGCTTAAATTAACTCCATCCACGCCCGCAAACCCTAAAAAGATTTCGCACCAACACTATTAGTTTTCACAATAAAAAACCGACAAAACCCATATAGAAAACCTGAAGATCAAAGCTTTGAACTCATAAAAATCTAATCTTTGACGATCGAGATTCGAGAAAGTTCAATTCTTGATGATAATGAAACCATCAGACCTATGTGATCAGAAACTTATTTCCATAAATTAAGCGAGTATAAACAAAGATAACCAACAAATTTGAAAAGGGACCCTTTTTACCCCATAAATTTCAAGAAAAAGAGCAACAGGAAGTAGGAAGGTGAGCTAAGAAGTGGGAGGTGGACGAGGGTTTGTAAGAAGGGGAGTCATGAGAGAGAGGGTTACGAGTTATAAAAGGAAAGATCAATCTGGCGGCGAATTGTTCTTACAGAGAATCACTTTTAGGGTTCTGTTTTCCAATTACTACTATACAAAGAGAGTAGGATTAAATACAGTAACTGGATCTATTTTGTATTTGCTATAAATAAATGCTTTTCATTTCTGTGTGTTTCTGAAAGTGTTTAATTTGTAACAAATTGTTAATTTTCAAGAATGAGATTATGAGAGACAAAAGAAAGTGGATTAATATGGTGAGAATATGATATATAAATTCCTGCAACAATATGTAGGCGACACGTTTATCCCTTAGATTCGGAGGGAGAAATCAAACTGCCCTTGTTGATAAGGCACACATTGGTCACTAGGTGCCACGTTGCTAAATGGGTCGGACCGTATAGGTCGAATTTAGAAACGAGATGCATTTTTTACAATTTTTTTGAAAAAGATTTTTGAAATATGTTTCTCTTTTTTTTTTTTTTTTTTGTAAATATGATAAAAAGTAATAAAATTTATGGAAAAATAATTTATTTCTGAAAGAAGACTTTCTCGAAGAATCAAAATCAAACAAGGCCCTGTTTAATTGCATGAAATTTTTCATGAAACTTGAAATTCGAATTTCAACTTTCACTTTTAACCTATTTGATTGACAAAAATCTTCAAGAAATTGATTTTCCATGAATTTCTAGATACAATACCTTAAAGCGTGTTTTCTCACCTTTTATTTTCTTAGGAGGTGGTTTTTGGTTATCCACCTTTTTTTCTTTTTCTTTTTTTTTTTTTGCTTTTCGTTTTTTTTAATTGTTGGCAATGAGAACAAATTTTAGAAACAATTGTAAAAGAGAATATTCCTGAAATTGACAATTTTCATGTAAAATAAAATCAAACGAATATCAAAATATAGATGATTTTTTGATCTTTTTTTTTGTTGGCAATGGAAACAAATTCTAGGAACAATGGTAAAAGTGGATATCCCTTAAATTGATAATTTTCATATAAAACAAAGTTAAACGAGCACCAAAAAACACTTTTACTTCAACATTTTCCACGTGAAAAATTACATCAATCAAACACAATAATTTACAATTCCCTAGAAAATAATTTCTAGGTAATTCAATTCCTTGAAATTCATTTTCTTTCCATCCAAATTTCATTTTCGCAATCAAATAGACCCTAACTGTTTAATGTCGGAACAATCTAGAAGGGCTGAATCTCTAATTAATATTGTTTCATCTTTGAAGTTGGACTCACAAATGTTGCAGGACGGTTACTTTGCCGAGGCGGGTTAAAGAGTTTGAAAGTTGTGCACTTTAAGATTTATGTGCTTGTAAATTATGGTTTTGTTGGAAAAAATTAATTACTTGCAGTAGTGATCTGAACAATATAATGCAGAAATATAAAACTTATCGTCCGATCGAGTCTCGTGACAGCACGATGTCCTAAAGTGAAATTGCCCGTCAATAATTGCTGCAACCTCCGTGGACAATCACTCCTAGGATACAACAATCGTAAACCACTTGTGCAGCAATCACGAATGATTTTTTAGAACTCTTAATTGTACTCCAAAATAAATGTAAAAATTCGAATATAAGAAATTCAGAATATGGATAGGGTTGATGCAAGATGATTATTCTATTGTCTTTTTGTGTGTGTTTTTCCCAAAACGAGATATGGGTTTATATAGGCAAGATGGTAGTAACAGACTTCACCATATTAATGCAGAATTTTAATGACTGAGTAGTGAGTGTTTTAATGGCTGTTAGTGGGTTGTTACAAAAACAAACAGTCAGAAAATATTGGCTAGTTTTACCCATTAAATAATAAAGAAAAAAATATTTATTTTAGTCAAGGAAGCCCAAAACCCCAATCAAGACATTTTAATATCTACGTGGGGAGTGACTTGAACTCCTGACGTCCCACACAAATGTCACATTTCCCACCATTTTAGCACTTTATCTAATTTGATTATTTCTTTCACATTTTATATTTATACCACAAATGTATAACAATCCCCCAAATGAAAGAAATAAGATAAATGAAAATATTACTCTGGAGTACGATAGAAATCATGCAGGTTTAGGTGTCTATCGACTTGAACCTTGGCTTTGTATATTCTATCGAGTTTACTAACTGTAGAGTGAACTATGTCTTGAACTCTACAATTATAGTTGCAAACTGAGACAATAGAACACACACATGATTTCTAAAACAGTCATTGAGTTCTCGCGATTGTGTTCATTTCGGTCGTGAACTTTCCCAATTTCTTTGAGTGCTCTAGAGAATTCGCCTCAATTCTCATAGGAAGCGGCCCCACTTCCACACTCAAATACGTGCTACTATCAAGAGTGCACTGTATTTAAACACCCCACTGAATATCAGCTATAGTAAGCATTAAGAGTATTAGCTCATCCTCTAATCAATACAGTTGGTACTACGCATCATAGGGAGGGGTTTTGAATAAATCCAATGTAGTACCCCCACAGACCACTCCAATAACTTTGTTGTCCCATTGAACCTTGACCATGGGATCTCCAATTACAATGTTGGGTTTCCATTATAGGTGATCTAAGAAATAATAGGCTTTAACCCCATCCCCATCGATATTTGTTGAATTAGCTCTCTAACCAATCCTTTGGTTAATGGGTCGGCAATGTTATCACTTGACTTCACATAGTCAATAGCAATAATCCCATCCTTAAACAGCTGACGCACAGTATTGTGCCTCCTACGAATATGTTTAGACTTTCCATTGTAGGATGAATTTTGAGCTCTTGAGATAGCTACTTGACTGTCACAATGTATTGAAATAGTTGGAAATGGTTTAGACCACAAAGGAACATCCATAAGAAAATTCCTTAACCATTCAGCATCCTAACCTGCCTTATCTAAAGTTATGAACTCATATTCCATAGTAAATCTAGCAATGCAGGTTTGCTTAGTGGATTTCCAGGAGACAGCTTCGCCTGCTAATGTAAATACATATCCACTTATAGATTTACTTTCATTGGTATCGGAAATCCAATTAGCATCACAATATCCCTCAAGTATAGCGAGGAATTTGGTATAATGTATTCCCCAGTCTAGAGTGTATCTCAAATACCTCAAGACTCGAATAAGAGCATCACAATGTTCGTTATTAGGATTACTAGTATACCTGCTAAGTCTACCTACAGCATATGCTATATCAGGTCTTGTACAGTTCTTGAGATACATGAGACTGCCAATTACTTTAGCATACTCTAAAGCGGAAACACTAGGACCTGAATGTTTTCTCAAATGACGGCTTGCATCATAAGGTGTTTTAGCAGGAATACAGTTGTATTGATTAAACTTCTGAAGCACCTTTTCTACATAATGTGATTGGGTCAAAATAATTCCTTCTGAATGTTTTACTATTTTGATTCCTAGAATAACATCAGCAATACCCAAATCTTTCATTTCAAAGTGCTTGTTCAGAAACTGCTTAGTTTTATTAACCACGTCTAAACTAGTTCCCATAATCAGCATATCATCAACATATAAGCAAATTATCACACCACAATTATTTTCAAATTTGCTATATATGCATTTATCTGCTTCATTTATCACATAACCACTTAATGTCAAAACTATATCAAATTTTTCGTACCATTATTCAGGAGCTTGTTTAAGGCCATAAAGGGATTTTTTAAGTCTATATACTTTATCCTCAATGTCTTTTACAACAAATCCTTCAAGCTGATCCATATAAATCTCCTCTTCTAAGTCTCCATTTAAAAATGCAGTTTTGACATCCATTTGATGTATAATAAGATCATACAGTGAGGCAATTGCAATTAACATCCTAATAGAGGTAATCCTAGTAACGGGTGAATAAGTATCAAAGAAGTGAACTCCTTCCTTTTATTTATAGCCTTTAGCTACAAGTCTTGCTTTATACTTATCAATTAAACCATCAGGTTTAAGTTTTTTCTTAAACAACCATCTACACCCAATTGTCTTACATCCTTGAGGTAAGTCCACTAACTTCCAAGTATTATTAGACATAATTGAATCATATTCACTATTTACAGCTTCCTTCCAAAATATAGAATCTGGTGAAAACATAGCTTCGCCAAAAGTACTAGGATCATTCTCTACTAAGTAGGTTATAAAGTCAGGACCCAAAGAAGTAATGGTCCTAGGTCTTTTGCTTCTCCTAATTTCAGCTTCTTCTAATTCAGATGTCTCCTCTCTAACACTAGGAGGAATACTAAAAGAACTGCTTGATCCTTCAGACTTTTCTTTAAACGGAAATCTATTTTCAAAAAATTCAGTATCTCTAGTTTCAAATATTGTGTTCTTTTCAATCAAATTATTTTTAGAGTCAATGACTAAAAATCTGTAGGCATTACTATGAAAAGTATAGCCTATAAAAACACAATCAACAATTTTCGGACCAAGTTTAGTTCTCTTAGGTGTTGGAATAGAAGTTTTAGCTAAACACCCCCACACTGTAAGATATTTATATGAAGGTGTTCTACCCTTCCACATTTCATAAGGAGACTTATTATTTTTCTTACTAGGAATTCTGTTAAGAATATAACATGCCGTAAGAAGTGCTTCCCTCCACATGTTAAAAGGTAATCCAGAAGAGCTTAGCATTGATATGATCATATCCTTAAGGGTTCGATTTTTCCTTTCAGCTACACCATTAGATTGTGGAGAATAAGGTGGAGTAGTCTCATGAATAATATCATTCTCAACACAAAATTTATCAAAATCTCCTGTATATTCTCCTCCCCTATCAGATCTTAAAACTTTAATAGTTTTGTCTAGCTGATTTTCTACTTCAATTTTATAGGAAATAAATTTTGAATAACTTTCATCCTTACTCTTAAGTAGATAAATATAACAATATCGAAAATAATCATCAATGAAAGTTAAGAAATATTTATTTCCACCACGAGTAGCATATCCTTTTAAGTCACATAAATCAAAATGTATCAAACTTAAGACCGAAGTAGTCCTATCAACACGAGGAAATGGTTTTCTAGAATATTTAGATTCAACACACGTTTCACATTTTGAATTTGGACAATTATCGATTTTGGAAATTTTTCCCAAAGTCATTAATTTTTTAATAGAAGTTTTATTAATGTGTCCAAGTCTAGCATACCACAAATCATAAGAATCCAACAAGTAAACAGAAAAGTTAGATGCTTTATTGTTAATCACATAGATATTGAGTTT